GGCATTTGTTGTTCAAGCAACAAATGTCATGAGGCATAAGTTGGGATTACTATGGACTCAAACTGGTAGTAGCCAAAAGTTACAAAAGTCATACCAAAGGCTTTAACATGGTGCCACGGGGAGCAGTTAGCCCTTGGAGGTAACTCCAATCTGCTCATTRGGTTTGGCCCTTTGGGGAGATTCGTGGTGGCTGTGGTTTAAACCTAAATGCAGGCAGGGCATTTAGTCCAATGTGGAGTCGCATTGCGGCCGGCAAGGCGGCTAGGGAGTCCCACCCTAAAAATTGGAACCAAAGTATCAGTGTATGTGGCGGCACTCCAGAGTATGGTGCAGGTGCATGCACGTCTGTCTGTATATATACGCACCAGTCCCTTTCTTTTATGCAAACTGCCGATATCGGACCACTATACCATAGAGCTGCCATACAAAGTGAACAATCGAAATCAACTTCTTGTATGGAAAACTTTCACATTTGACAATGTATCTTCACGAAATTTGGTATACATTGTTAAGATCGGCTAACTATAGCATATAGCTGCCATACAAATTGAATGATCGGAATACAGTTCTTTTATGGAAAGCTTTCACATTTAACAAAATATATTCACGAAATTTGGTGCAGATTATTTCCTAAAACAACAATGTAATCTCCGAAGAAATTGTTCAGATCGGTTAACTGTATCATATAGCTACGATACAAACTGAACAATCGAAATCAAATGCTGGCAGGGAAGACTATTGCATTTGACGTGATATTTTCACGAAATTTGATATAGATTATTWTATAAGCCAACTATGTAATCTCCGATTGTTCAGATCGGAATCAGGGGCTTGTATGGAAAACTTTCACATTTGACGTGGTATCTTCAGGAAATTTGACATGGATTACTGCTCACGGCAATAATATAATCTTCGAAAAAATTGTTTAGATCGGATTACTATAGCATATAGCTTCCATACAAATTGGACACACAGTTAATAAAAGAAATGCACCTCTGAAGGGTATATTAGCTTCGGTGCAGCCGAAGTTAAGGTTTTTTCTTGTTTTACTTTTCATTGGAGGGTTTTTAAAGTGGCAGGTAATTAAAACTAAGTTAATATAATTTTTTTTAATTTCAAATTATAGATTTTATGTTTATTTATTCTAATGGTGATAGCGAATAATTAGTTTAAGCAATTAAATCTACATCTGTGGTAGTTGATCAATAGGCGTAGTGAACTTGAAATCCTCAGGAAATAGYTTCAGTGCATGTGGATACATCAATTTGTACGATTGYCTTATGGTCACATCAGCCACGCCTGCAATGTCGCCAATTTCTTTTTGACTACGTTTATGTTCAGAAGCCTACAAATAAATATTAACAGATTTTATAATGGAAAAGCACAAGCATATATATTTTGTATAAGCCAAATATACATATATACATGTTAGTCAGTTATTAATACTTTCAGTAGTTCGCCTTTTAATGTCACAATCTTTTTACTCTTGGATATTGTTGYTACATATTATAAAAGCAGTGTTGATCACCTAACGGTTGGTTGAAACACCTAAAACTAATCGAGATAGATATAGCCTTATACATAAATACATAAATGACGAAAGGCGAATTGAAATTACGTTGATTTTGCGCCCGTCCGTCTGTCTCTGCAAACTGTAATTGCTTAACCGTTGTAATAACATTCTTCTAATGTTGCTAAGCGACAGTCAGAAAATGAGAATAATCCGTTTACAACCACGCCTACCTTCCATTTCACGAAATTTAAAATTCCGTCGGATTCTTTCACATTCCAGTATATAAAGCACCATTAGACCCATTCCATGGCTCAATGGGTGTGTAAACAACCAAAATTGTCGGATTTGGGACCAAGAGCAACCTGAAGAAATTTAAGAGCTGCCATTTCATTCAGGAAAAACAATGGTTTAGTGTGCTTTGTGGAATCATCGATCCACATTTATTGAAAAATTATACCTGTAAGAACGTAACCGGAAATTGAAGCCACTGATATCGGCCACATTTGGTTTAAACAAGACGGCGCCACTTCTCACACACCGCATCAATCAATGGATTTATTATAGATCACTTCGGTAAGCAAATAATTTCTCTTCTGGGCCGGTCGATTGGCCAGCAAATTCGTTTGACATCAAATATTTAGATTTTTTCCTTTGGGGATATGTAAAGTCTAAAGTCTATGCGGACAATAYCGCTTCTTTACAGGCTTTGGTGCAAAACATCAGACATGCCATTCGACAATTACCAGTCGAAATGATCGAACGAGCCATCGAAAATGGGACTCAGCAGATGGAACATATGAGAGGTAGCCACGACCGATATTTAGAAGAGATAATCTTCAAGAAATAAATGTCAAAGAATGTTTTTTACAATGATAATAAGCATTCTGTATTAAATTTGAAATTTTTATGTTTTTACTTTAAAAAAGTAGACAATCTTGAAATTAATTATATTAGAAGTATTTGATTTCTTAGTTAGTCCAATTAGTTTTTTTATTAAATTTTTCTTAGATCAATATTTTATTTACTTATATCCAATTTAATATTATTCAGCAATATTGTACGTTCCCCTAGTTTCTTAAGATATCTTACATATTGATCGATTTGATTCATTTTTGCAGCGCGACATATTATTACCAGAAAAAGAAGCTCAATTAAGACTTACAAATTTACTGATATTATAGTATAAAGTATTCCAGAAATTATAATCTGTTATTATTTAAATGGGTGCTAGAAATATTAACCGGATTTTAAGAGAACTATTGACCTGGTGTTAACCAACACTGGTTCTTGGCACTGAGGTTCACATACAGTTGCGAGAAAAATAATAGCAGTCCCTTGAAGAACATACTATCTACCAGTGTAGTTTTACTATTTTTAAGTGTTTTCATTTTTTCTTTTTGCTAAAGCGTTAACTCACACTAGTATTCGCAGTTAGTCATGTTCGAATAACGGTAGGTTGGCATCATATTTTCATATGTTAATTTCACTGATGCTAAGTGGTTTGTATGGCGAGCACATTAATAGCAGCGTTTAATTGTTCTCTGAATATAATTGAAAATTTGATATATACGATTTTTAAAAGTAAGTAATATTATCATTTACAATATAAAAAGAAATTAATTATTGTGTTCACGCAATTTATTTATTTAAAGTGGGTCGTGGAAAACATTGCAGCACGGAGAAACGCAATTTGATAAATAATCTGATAAGTGCAGGTAAAACTTATAAAGAAGTAAGAAAACATCAGCGTAAAAGGATTTTATCAGCATCCCTGGTGAAACKCATAGTAAGGATTAGCAGAGCCAMTCCATCAAAGGCAGCTACACAAATTAAAGATGAGTTARATCTGCCATGTGGAGTCCATACAGTCAGACGATGTTTGAGAGATAATAATTTGTATGCTCGGAGCCCCCGCAAAGTTCCTCTTTTGAAAAAAAATCACATTGGCAAAAGACTAAAGTTTGCACACGATCACTTGTTGTGGCCACTCCAAAAGTGGYGAAATATTCTTTGGACCGATGAAAGCAAAATGGTTTTCTATGGTGGGAAAGG